AGGGCCCGCCACGGGAGAGCACAGCTGGAGAGCGGGGTGGCCAGGGCTACCAAACGCTGCCATGAGGTGCCACAGAGGAAACCGGCTTCAGGAAAAGCCTAGAGGTCCCCAAGGCCCCATTCCACCCTTGGAGCCTGCAGGCCCTGGGGGAACATGGGGATGCTGCAAGGAAAACCCCACACGCACCCCACGGAGCCGGGTCGGCCGGGATCAACTTTGGCGCCGTCCCTCATCCTTTGGGATTTGTTCTCGGCAGCTCTAATCCTCCGCCTTGATTGCCGAGGCTCCCGATCTCATTAGCCGGGCTACGCGGCCCGGTTATGTGCGCGGGGAGGGGAAAATTGATATTAATCCCATCTCAATAATCTGGCATTTATTGGTTTTTATTTTTAACCTGCATGGAAGCAAGCCACCCTGCTTGCAAAGGCCGGGCTTTTCCCGTGCTCCGGATAAACCGGCCTTGGCCTGGAGGGCCGAGCATCCCCCGGCATCCCAGTCCCATGCCGGGAGCCGACCGTTCTCCTGCAAAACCCATTCCGGATTTTTCCCCTAATTACAAGGGAAAGCAAGAGCTTCCCCGGCCCCGCTTGGGGACATCCCCGCTCCCGGCTGCCTGATTAAGAGGGAGCCATTAACATCCCGTCAAAGCAGCTTCTCCAAAACCAGCTTTGACAAAACTGCCACCGCAGCGGCGCGGGGAGGCAGCCGGCGCAGGCGCCGCGCGCGGTTTTCCATCATTTTGACAGCCTGCACGCAGGCGACTTGGGCACCTTTGGGAAATTCTGGCCCCGCAGCGAGCGCCAGGGCACCATCCATCTCCACGGCAGCGGATCCGGCAAATGCACCGGGATGGGGCGGCCGAGGGGGCTGCGCAAGGCCAGGGCTTCGCTCTGCAGGATGAAGCTGGAGTTGCGACGTCCCAGAGCTCCAGCTGCATCCTCAGCGCTCGTTTAAAACAGAAAAAAAAAATTGGCATGAAAAGCTATGTATATTGCAAACCAAAATGTGTTGCGTTTTAATATGTTTTCCCAGCCCAAACAAATTTGTTTCTTACTCTCGCAGGCTGCAAGCGGGAGCTGCCCTGGAGCAACACACCGAGGAGCCTGCGGCAAAGAGCCCGTGTCCCCAAGGAGCCCCTGTGTCCCCAAGGACTCCTACCTGGCGGGAGAGGAGGGCCCAGCAGCAAAGGGGCTGCCCTGGCCCCCCAGCCCCATTTAAAGGCTCGGGGGCTGCAGCTGTGGCCCTGGTGGGGTCCGGGCCTCAGCTGCTGCCTGTGATTGCTCCGCATCCTTTCCAGCATCCTGGTCCCTTGGAAGTGCCCTGGGAAACGGTGTCCCCGCTGTCCTCCCTGCTAGAGCGGGGTGGTGACTCGTCCCAGCTCCGCCACACGCTGCTGGTGGCCTCTCCGAGCAGCCCTGCGATGCTCCCCAAGGTGCCCTTGCTGAGAGATGCTTAAAACACCCGGAGAACCCTTGGAGCGGACACATCCCCCATGGCCGGGGGAGCCGGGCTCCGGGCTCAGCGTGTTCCCCCCTCCGCCGCTCCTTCCTCCTCCTCCTCCTCCTCCTCGCGGGCGCCCAGGATGCCGCGCACAGCGCGGGGCCGCAGGGCTGAGTAACGCGCTGCCGGGCTGAGTAATCCGCGCGCGCTGCCGCCCCGGCCCCGCATCCCGCCGCGCTGCCCGCGCCAGGGCCCCGCCGTTCCCGAGCCCCTCCGAACCGGCTCCC